AGGCTCACTGATGATGCCGACTACGAGGCCGGCGAAACGTTTGAGAATGTATCAACTCCACGGTCGGATGGGGGAAATCATGACAACTACTATGCCAGACGACTTCGGACTCGGCGTTCTACATAGTCTCCCTGAACACAAGACCAAGTTGCGACAACGAGGTCAACCCACTTCTATAAGTCGAAAAGAGACTGCGACCATACCCGAGGCCACAACGTCTTGGTCTTCACATCTTAAAATATGTTATGTTGTGATTATATAGCATGTAGAGCAGAGCCAGTCTGTCTCCTTGACTTAGCGTCAACGTATGAGTCTTTTGTAGCAATGAGTCCCAGCTCTGAAGATGTTCGTCATATGCCGAACGAAAGAACAACCTGTCTTCCACCGCAACGAGCAAGGATGTCTTGTAGACTGCAACCAAACGGCTGCATTACAACGGGAATCAGCCGTCGTCTTCTGGTGAGATCGACTTACGAATATCTCTATCATGTAATTTCATACTAAATGAAAGTCTCTACAACAATGTTTCCTAAGGAGATTAATCGAAATCCGATTTTTCTTCGTATATGTTTGTGTAGTGTTGATATAAATTCCAATCGCTCAGCTGTCCTTTCACCTTTTATTAAAGCGGACAGTATGGCAGGATAATGAAACAAGTGGGCTTGTCCAAATCCCTCTTCTGGCCTAAAGCTATTTTTCCCAATGAGCCATCTCTTGCAAACAGTAAAAGGGCATTAACTCATCGCAGTGGATAGCTGCCATAATCGAATAATTTCTTTGATATTCTTATTCACTGGACCTGATAAGTTGCCAGTCATGTTAAAATGACTAAAAAAGAAATTATGAATGAAATATGCATGTTGTCTTGCAATAACAGCTTGATTCCTTCTACAATAGTCATAATGTCTAACTTTGCCGTGCATTTTTCCAAATAGCTAAACAAATTTCTTCGGACTCTTAGCACTGCTGACAAAAGTACCAGCTAGGAACTATGAAAGTCTCTATTTTAGTCGTATGCTTGGCCCGCATTTTAGCTAAACACAGCAAACTATTTATCAAAGGACATTCAGATTATGGGCCGCATGAAGTAGGCAACCCTTTAATAGTCTGTCTCATTAGATCATAAGAAATAGGCATGATCGCGGCCGGTTACCATTATTGGCTCAGGATTTCATTTAATTCTTATTGAAGCATTAATTCTTGGTTTATCGACGTCTTTTACGCAGGGCACGCGAAGCTCAGCAAAGATCAATCAGGATATCATCATGACGCTTAAAGGGGTTCTATGCTCACGTAAACAGCCAACACTGTGAGGAAATTCTTTTCATCCAATACTTCATGGGAATTTCATGAAATTGCAAATGGCTTCTTCAAAAGCTAAATTTCCATCCTACATATTCCAAAGTCTTTATTGAATGTCCTGATATAATCTTGTTTTTATTTTGGTCATTACAGCCGTCTGATTATATAGGCCAGAGTTTAGCATTGAGAAATCACGGGCTCTTGAATCGTATCTACAGCGGGAAGGGGGAGTCAAAATTACCTCAGGGCAGTATTAAGTTGAAGAGATACGTCAAACGGAATATTATATTAGTAGACATTGTTGTTTCGTTTGGAAACCATGTCTTCCAATAAAACGAGGCAAATTAGCATTGCAGACCTTAAAGTGGGCTGCGAAGGATATTTCCCGTAAATATCGAGGTGAGTTCGTAGGTTTTCTCTGTTAATCTCCAGACCTTAAAAATAGAAGCTATAAATTGACCAAAGTAATTGCATTTGTCTGGCACCCAATTTTTAGTTATAAGCAAGCCAATACGCTTCGGCAAGCTAGGATAAAAATGGAGAGTATGAAAAGACTGCGTCTTTAGGTTTGGTCGCAATTCCTCTATACTGTTGGCTAAAATAGAGAAGCTCTCGATATCCAATACTGGATTATTTATTTCATTAGGCCAGAAAACATTCAGTAATGTCTAAGGGCATTGTCTTTTAATAACATTATTTAGCATCGATTGACTCAAGCAACTTCTATGCTCATGCTTGGGTTAGGCAAAAGTCTATAGGCGGGCTGACAGACGCACTAATTATTTTATAAATATTATTTCACTACTTAAAAGTAACTATATAAAGTTGCTCTAAACTTCTTTACCTTGAAGTTGGTGATTGCTGGCAATTTTACTGACATCTATTCAACAGCCAATTTCCACGATATTATTTTATTTAATATTATCTATCAGCTTAAAGGTAATTTTACCTCTATTGGCCGTGCTGCAAATAAAGAAAATGATGGAATCCAGTTACTCTAAGGCCTATGTATAAAAAAATCATTTCTCTAGTCTAAGATTTATGTTGACTGAAATGGTTGCTACCTAAATCGTTTATTTTGTCGGCAACTATCGGTCGAGGCCAGAATTTTCCTAAGTAAGGGCTATAATGAATAGATGATTGGTGATCGTTCGGTATCTCTCTTGTCGCCGGTTTTTCTTCATCAGGTCTGACGTTTTGGTGGCTTTGAAGACCCTGATTTTGATGGGGCTGTCTTTGCTCCATCGAAGGGGATGTGAATGCGACATCTTCTCTCTGCTTTTGGTGCTTCGGAATATACTGCTGGAAGCGTGGTCTTTGAGTGCCCTGACTGGAAGTATGTTGCTGTTGTGGCTGCTGCTTGGAAGGGATTGGCTGCTGGTGCTGGGCGCATTGTCTGTAGACAGGCATATGATATGACGGCTTCGGCGTCGTCATTGCTGCCAT